ACAGACAGACAGATAGATATACAGATAGACAGATAGATATACAGACAGACAGATAAGCTGTTTCTAGTACAGTTCTGTTTGCTGGGGTGTATTTATGGTGTTTTGTAAGCTTAAATCGCCACAGTTTTACTATGTAAAAGCATTTATAACTTTAAATATTGTGCATCGTTACATTCATTAATATATATATGTATATATAGTCATTATGAATCACGGCACTATTGCACAGAAAATGAACACATTTGTTCAGTGTATGAGGAATATCTTAGACTCGCAAGAAAAACTGCTTGTTCTTAAAGGGATAGTTCACCTAAACATGAACATTTTGACATAATTGTAACAATTTTCCGCCAGTGCTTAGAGTGATCCTACAGTGCCACCAAGAGGACATTTTTAAATTGCCATTTGTACAGGTCTGTGATGTTTTTGTAATATTTATTTCTGCAATTTTATAACTTTATGCTCCTCTGTCTTTACAACAAGTTATTTATTATTTTTTACTTTGAAACATTTTTCATTAAATCATGGCCTTTTGAAGTTTAATAATCACATTAGGCTATACTGCAATTCCTGTTTTCTGGCCTCAAATTTAAGCCCTTTTAAAATCACAATTAATAATTGTTAACCATCTTACGTTATTTAAGACTTTTTTATGGGCTTAAATTAAAAACTTGAATTTAAGACCTTGAGAACTACTTTTTATTCACAATGTACTCCTAAATACATGTTATAGTTGGCACACATCTTTTTTTTTTATTTGTTTCTTCTGAGATAAACTTTTTATCTGAGAATTCTGACTTTTTTCTCACAATTCTGAGTACAATAAATAAGTACTGCAATAGAATTTATATTTTATGATGATTGTAATATTTGTTTTATCAGAATATCAGCTCATTTGCGTGGACACATTTATCAATGCATTGTGCAAATGCATGATCAAATTCAATTAATTGTGAATTTAATTTAATTTATTATTATATCTACTCGTATTCATCTATATATACTTACAATAAAAAATTGTAAAAAACACAAGTTCATGGAAGGGATTCTCTTTATTGAAACTTTTTAATAGCAAGTTAGGCAACAGATCAACTATATTCAAAAAACACGTTCACAGAAATGTTCCCAGACTGGATTCTCTTTACTGAAAGGTTTTTAATGGCAAGTTCTGCGACAGGCCTGTTTGTACTTCATGCACTACAAAAACCAACCACAAAAAACTGATTCTAACCCACATCCTTGTGTCCTTCATCGTGTGCACTGACATACAGATCCTCACCAGCGTTATTCACATTGAGACGCGCAGAATCTCTTTTAAAGCCAGCACGAGATCTTATGTAAGTGTATGTCCCAGCAGAAGCTGAAAACGAAAACGGCTCCGCATGAAGTCTTCATAGAGTCATGGACTTTTTAAGATGTGAGAAGTCAAACAAAAATGCAACACTTTAATTAAAGCCTATATGTAATTTTTTTTTTTTTTAATATAATAACATTTTTAAATAGGCAAAAATGTATTTATATATTTATTTATGGTGCAGAATGGCTAAAATCACTTACAGAGAAATCTACATTTTTCTCGTAGTCTGACTCCATCTCATCCTGACTGGCAGATCAGGATATGTAGAGAGGTCAAAGGTCAGACTCAAAGCAGAGAGACCCTAGGTCATGTGATCAGAGGTCACACTGACTGATGAGTCTGATCACACGTTTTTCTTAACTGCATTTATGAGGTATCTTGATTCTAGTAACAATCCCATCTACTTAGAATTGTTAATATGTTTAGTTTTGTATCATCTGACTTGCACTTAAATATTTAGCGTCAAATGTCTCTCTCTAGTCTCTCTAGAGTTTGTTATTATTTGGTAACATAATAGTTGTTTTCTTTATGCAATGATACTAATAACATAAATAATGCATACAAATCAGCGCATACCAAACACACCGGCCCACAAAAGCTATTTTGTCATTTAAATATGAGTATAAAAATAGTTACAGCTACATAAAAATTGCTACAGAATTTCATCATAACATCACATTAATGTCGACATTGACTAACACCATCATACGCTCTGTTTCTGGGTCGTTCTCAGGAAACACTGCCATTTATCATATATTTCTACTGATACTGTATAAAGAACTGATATTTTATGATTTTAAATGTTTGTTTTTCAGTGGAGTAGTAATATGCATGGCCAAATTTATCAATGCATTGTATAGGATTATTCAAATTAAATTGAATTATTAAATAAAATTATTTTATTGAATTCTAAATGTAATTTAATTTAATTTGGCCACATTTATTAATGCATTATAAAGGCTTATTCAAATTAAATTATTCATTTTAATTGAATTGTACATTTAAATTAATAATTAAATTTTAACACTTACTTTTCATTATTTAATTTTAATGAATGTTAAGATTAGTTTTATTGATTTAAATTATTTAAATAAATTATTTAAATTCTTTCACTGTCTGTCTGTCTGAATTTTGACTAATTCTTAATAATTATTACATTCAAAAAGAGTGATATATAGGTAGTAATTGGTATAAAGGCTTGTGAAAAATGATTTATTGAAAACCCACATTTGTTGCTGAAAACTCTTGCAGAGATGATGCTAAATGAAAATGTTATTGAAATGTTCTGGCAGAAATGCTGTTGTTTTCTGAGAACGAGCCGTTTGCTGCTTGGCCTGGCATATATATACTCTTCTGCTCATGACGTCGTTCAGTGGAAGCGTCTGAAAGCTGAAGGATCTGAGGTTACATGACAGATTAGAGTGAGCCGACGGGTTCATATTCATCACTGGATCTGCAGGCAACATGCAAATATACAGAGGAGGACTCAGAAGAACAGATCGCCTGCAGAGAGAGAGAAGAAAAGAAGACCACGGGTGAATATTCTCCAAGTTTCTTGTCTTGTTTGCCAGTAGAAATACCTATTCTTAAATCAAGATTCAATTACAGGAGACGCAAAGTCTTAAGTCTGGTCCTCAGAAAAAAAGAAGTGCGTTTATTCTCAAAGCAATAAATATCTTTCAATGGGGTCAGAAATAGCAACTTAAACCAGAAAAACTAAATTATTTACTGCATTGGTTGATATTTGTTCTTGCTTTAAGCATAAACGTATTATTTTATTTTTTGTTAGAAAACAAGACTTAATATTTTAAGTATGGAATCTTGTTTCCACCATAGAATAGAAGTGCGTTTATTCTCAAAGCAATAAATATCTTTCAATGGGGTCTGAATTAGCAACTTAAACCAGAAAAACTAAATTATTTACTGCATTGGTTGATATTTGTTCTTGCTTTAAGCATAAACGTATTATTTTATTTTTTGTTAGAAAACAAGACTTAATATTTTAAGTATGGAATCTTGTTTCCACCATAGAATAAAAAAAAAAAAAAGATATTTGTGACTCTTTTATTTCACAATTCATTTTTTTCGCCACAAAATAAAACAAAAAAAAGGTAATTCTGTGTCTTGCAATTCTGTTTAAATCTTGTAATTATAGAATTGTGAGTTTTTTTTTTAATTCACCACAAAATACATAAAAAGGTAATTGCATCTTTTTATTTCACAATTCAGACTTTTTTC